TATCTATCTATCTATCTATCTATCTATCTATCTGTGTGTGTTTACTAGTGTGTATACGTATCAGACATCTAGGACTGTATGAAATCATTACATATTGTTTTCCCAGGAACCTCTTACAAAATTACATTAGTCTTGCTTTTTTTCCCTCTCAATTCTCTGCAGGCGATTCAAAGTGGGTAACCGTCGTCACGGGAGTTGTCGACTGCTACTACAACGTCACCGACCTGCCACTAGGCAGAACTTATAAGTTCCGTGTCTCCTGTGTCAACAAGGCTGGACAAGGCCCGCACAGCAGCTGCTCTGCTCCAGTGTGCCTGGATTCCACAGGTAACAGGGGCGGAAAAATAATCCAGCATCGCCATTTAGGAGTTTGCTTGTCAGCCTTCATCAATCCAACATACACATTTGATACATAGTTCTAAAATAGACTGAAAAAATGACTGAAAAGAGAGGAAATGAATGAAAAGAGATTGAAAAAGAGAAGCAAAACAGGGTTGAATTGAAAAACTATTGAAATAAACTCTCTATTCAAAGTAATTTTGAGTTGGATTAGCTTAATGACAAGCACACTGAGTTAATTCTGAATGTATTTCATTTGCCAAACAGCTGGTGGAGCTTCACCTTCCATTGCTGTTGTGAAGACGGTGCCAGCTTCGTCTGAAAAGCTGCTCACCTCCTCTGTAACAGTCCCTCTGCTAAAAGCAGGTCAGAGCAGTGCTACCAGGACACCTCAGCCTCCCATCACCTCCACCCCCTCCTCTCTTGCAACCCCACACTCTCTTCAGACTCCGTATCCTCCGTCCAAGACGGCGGTTACTCCCTCCCCTCTGCCCGCCGGCCCTACCGCAAACCCTCCTCCACCACTGGCCGGTGAAGACGCTAAGAAAATAAGCGCCGCACCCCCAGCTCTGCCCGTCGTCAAGGCTCCCCCTCCCTTTGTGCTCCCTAAACCTCAGAGTCCAGTAAATGTGGTTACCCCCATGACCCAGACCCCGGCTATACCCCAACCGCAATCTCTTGTAACCCCGCCTCCCGCACCAACGAAACCAGCCGTGGCCTCCGTTCCCACTTACATCTCGACGGCCGGCGCCACGGCTCGAGTGGCTCCGACTCCCGTGGCTCCGACTCCCGTGTCCTTCTCCCCGCAAGTCCTCCAGGCCTCGAGCCTAAGTCCTATTGGAGAGGGTGCCAGCACCCCCACCAGAGGCACTCCGTCGGGGCGTGCCACACCCTCCACCGCCCTGCGACAGGGAGTTCCTCAGAAACCGTACACGTTCCTGGATGAAAAATCCAGGTGAGCCAGACGTGTGTGAACACAATGATAATGGCTAACAATCATAAACAACTGGACTTGAGGATATTTTCGTTCTAACTGGTTTTTAACCGGACCTTGTTCGTAACAACGGATTTTGCACGTTCCCGTTTTCAGGGGTCGGTTTGGAGTGGTCCGCGAATGCAGGGAGAACTCCACAGGGAAAATCTACATGGCCAAGATCATTCCCTACACTCAGGAGAGCAAGCAGGACGTGCTGAAGGAGTACGAGATCCTGAAATCCCTCCACAACGAGAGGGTCATGGCACTGCATGAGGCATACGTCACACCACGCTACCTGGTGCTGGTGGCAGAGTACTGCACCGGCAAAGAACTGCTGTACAGCCTCATAGACAGGTGAGACCACCCAAACCAAGTCGTAGAGAGGCGAATAGACCCGAGTAGGATTGAGTAAAACCCTTATTAGCATCACTAGACCACATATTTTTCGGCTCAACCTACTTACCCTGGATGTGAACTCCCTTGTCTTTATCTTACTCACTCATTCAAGGTTCCGTTACTCCGAGGACGATGTGGTGGGTTACTTGGTCCAGATCCTCCAGGCCATCGAGTACCTCCACAGCCACCGGATCCTCCACTTGGACCTCAAACCCGACAACATCATGGTGACCAACCTCAACGTCATCAAAATTGTGGACTTTGGCAGCGCTCAAAGCTTCAACCCGCTCAGTTTGAGACAGCATGAATCTGGAGCAGGAACACTGGAATACATGGGTGAGGGGAGGGTTCTTATTGTTATCCTTTATTTTTCACATAATAAACCTACATTTTTCAAGATCTCACATCTAGAATTCAAACGAAAATATGACAGTGTTTGAACCATTTGAATTCTCTTCTTCTTGACTAGCTCCTGAAATGGTGAAAGGTGAAGTTGTTGGTCCTCCGGCGGACATTTGGAGTGCTGGAGTTGTGACCTACGTCATGTATGTTTGACTTGACTCTAACTTGGGTATGCTTTTGTCGTTTCTCTTCCTTTTGACGTTAATTTATGTTTCAACCTTCTCTTTATTCTTGTCGTTGTAATCTAGGCTAAGCGGTCGGCTACCGTTTGAAGATAAGGACCCTCAACAAATTGAATCCAAGATCCTGATGGCAAAGTTTGACCCAACAAAACTGTTTCCTAACGTGTCCCAAAGTGCCTCGGCCTTTCTGAAGAAGACGTTGAGCAGCTACCCATGGTGATTGATCCTCACAGCTAAGAGAGTCTTTGCTTCTTAAACTAATTTTCTCACCGTCTGTTGAATCCTTTGCCCATGTCTACTTTCAGGGCCCGCCCGACCACGCGTGACTGCTTCACGCAGGCCTGGCTCCAGGACTCCTACCTGATGAAGCTCAGGAGGCAGACGCTCACCTTCACCTCCGGCCGGCTCAAGGAGTTCTTGGTGGAACAGCAGAGCCGGCGCGCCGAGAGCGCCACCAAGCACAAGGTGCTGCTGCGCACCTACCAGGGCTCGCCCCGGTCCCCGGCGGCCGGGACCGGACCCCATGTCCCCAGCCCAAAGTGAGACGACGACAGCAAAAAAGTCGCACGAACAGGCAAACGCTCCGAGCACGTGTTGAGTTTTGATTTGGGAAATATTCCGAGACCCAGCAACAAGGTTGATTCTGAGAAGAACCAAAAGAATGAACGACATTCAGACCTGCTCGTGAACTGACGCCGCAAAGGGACACAGGGTGTTTCTTTAGAGAGTTTTGTCGGTCACATTTGTGAATTCCGAAATTGCACATCGATATTTGCTTTCAACAACTACTAGTGTACAGTCTGCACGATGAACCTGGAACTAACATCACTCAGTTTTATAGTTACCAACTCATGGGAATGTGCTATGAAGTAAGTTGCTAACTTACTGTTTCATTCTGTCACGTTTTAGACATTAAAAACCAAAAATAGTTTATTTTTCTTTCCCTTTGGAAATTTGTTTACTGTTTTTCATGTTAATTTATTTGCATGTGGGTGTGAGTGTGTGTGGGTGTATATGTATGTGTGTGCATGAGCATTTTTGATTCATTTAAAATTATCAGTAAGGCAAACAAAACAAAACAAAAAAACTCTAAGGCGTGTCTGTGATTGGTGTCAAGTCATCCAGTAAAATATTTTTGGGGTGTGATAGGAATTTCTCATTTGTGCAACTCCTTGTTCTGTGGTTAATCCTCAACACTAACGGTTAAACTGATGTTAAAGAATGTCAAACTCTGGTTAAATTGATGTGATTTGTCAGTATCAAACATCAGTTAGTCTGGTTATTCAAGTCACGATCATCCAGGTAGTGCCTAAATTGGATTAAGGTCCAAAATATCAATCTTGTAAATGTGTTTCCATTGGTTCTAAAGGAAGAGTTTCATTACAGTATTCGGACGTTAGAATAACTGCAAGATGACTGTAGATTCATACATTCATTCATAGGGTACTTACACAAAAGTCCTTGTTATAATAGAGAGTCCTGTGTACTGCTTTATCACAGTGTTCTTTTTTGTATGAATTTGAATGGTTAAAGATTTTTAAATGTACCAATTTGCTGTGTTCATATGTGGCAAAAGTTGAAAAGCGTTTTTATGAGATAGTATGTAATAAACTATTGATACAATTTGAATATGTTTCTTTAAATCCGATGCAATATCGACGTTTCTCCTGATTTAAGAAGAATTTAAAGGTATTTGTAACCAGCATGCTCTTATGTCTAATTTAAAAAAAAAGTTTACCATGCAAGTGTGTTGACAAGGTTACAACACTGATAAAGGCTAAAAAGGATTAAATGATTGGAAAAAGGGGGGAATTATTCACAACAATTTAGACATGAAGCAATGTTATCAACTAAAACCGCAGCTATTCAAAGCATTAGAATGAAATTTAAAAAAAAAATGGCTTAAAAGAAAAAAAAGTACATTTTTTGTTGATGAAATTGCAAGCTTAAGCTTCGAAGTCCCAGAGAAGCGGAAGGAGTGCGTGAGTAAAGATGTTTAAACAGGACTCATAAGGAGTAAAGTTTTGTTTTTGTTTTTTTGTTTTTTTCTTTATGATCAAATTAAACTGTAACGTCAATTAAAGGAAGGGCCCTATTTCAGTTAGTCAAAATGGAATGTCAGAACATGTCATAATAACAATCACTATTAAATGATTTGGGGGTGATAGTGATAAAAAACAAACAAACAAACAAACAAAAAAGAAATCTTGTCAATGAGGTCAAAGGTCCATTTCCTACATGGAAACATAAGTTCAGGGTCTTTAAGACTACAAACATGAACCTTCTGGTCCACTTTTTATCCTTGTAGGCTACATATGTCCAGAAAGTACTACAGGAGACTAGATTGTGCTGCTACTGTCCCCCTATTTATAACAGTGAGGAACATCCTGATCTAATAATAATAATAATAATAAATGTGCCTCTGTAAGTCACATTCTTGTATAATAGATTATAGCATCACGTCCTCCTTTAAAATAAACCAATTGATCCAAACCACACTTCTACTTGAAACGTGTATTCTTCTTCTAGTCGAAAAAGGTACAGTTTTTTTTAGAGAAATTTCCCGGTCTTGATGAGAGAGTGTGCCCCCTGGCTTTTTAAGGATGTTTATCATTTCAAAGCTTTGCGGTATGAGTTTTATTTTGTACAAATTAAGGAGGTATGCAAAGATGACAAACGGAGTCTCTCAAGCGGAGCGCTTCACGACGGGCGCTTTCTTTTTTACGACGCTCCCTAGTTCAAGGCAGTTTCAAGGGGACCCGAAGAGGGCGTTTCTTTGCTTGAAAAAAAAAGGGGAAAAAAGTTTTGCGCCTTGGTAAGTTCTTACCCTCAGCAGTCAGCGTCAGACGACGACAGGAGTGACCCACGCCCACGTACTGTACACGTAAAACCGTGGCAAAGTGGATGTTTACGCAAATTATGCTTAGCTAGTTTGTGCATTTTCCTCGACTACTTAGCCGTGTCGCGTATCTTTTCCCACCAACTTTGATTGGGAAAGACTAAGAACTGTGCATAAGCAGAAGTCCTGTCAGCTTCGTGTTTTTAGTTGAGTAGCTTGAGAGGCGAGAGCGTATCACTACGCCGCCGTAAATTATTTTTACTCGTCTAAAATGAGACCCGAGTAACTTTTGAGCTTTTTTTTTTTTTTTTTTTGGAGTTAGGGACCGTCGTCAAATGTGTAGCCGCCGCCAGGCGGTTAGTCGTCCGGGCCCCTCTCCCCTGCCCGCGCCGCTTTAAGCGAAATGGGACGCCTTGAAACCTCCGTGTTTGTATCTTGAAATTGCAAGCGGAGTTGAGCACCATATTGAATCAAAGTTGCCAACTCCTTGACAAATGTTTTTGTAACTTTCGGACTTCAAACGCCCAGCGGCTATCCGAGCGGAGAGCGAAAACGACCGGGAAAAACATCCGGCGTTGAATGGACCGGCCCGTAGGCGACTTGTTGCCGTCGTTTTTTTCCCCCGGCGCCTTTTAGGTTGTGTTTTTTTAAGACTAAGTTCATGCAGCACCGAGTCGGCGAACTATCCCCAACTTTAAAGTGTGAGGTCAGCACTCTGGACCAGACCTGGATGTGATGGACAATTCGTCCTCAATCATCACCCAAGTCAGCCGGGATGAAGAGGGAAGTAAATCTGCAGGAGAGAGGGGTGAGTGCCTTCATTTCTTTTTTTTTTGTTGTCCTCCGCGGTCATGTCCGGGCTAAAAAGTTTTTTTTTTTGCAGCTCCGCGAAGGCAAACTCCCGAGCACGCGCACTAATCTGCTTCCGACCGTTTTTTCGGTCGGTGCCGCAGTACGAATTTTGAGTTTTATTCGACAAAAGTTACGGACACGGAAGGGGGGGGGACTTTTTAGCAGCATTACAGCTGTCAGCGGTTTTCTTCTCGTTTAACGTCGCTGCGGCCCTTTTGGCCCGTGATGAAAGTGGAGGAAATGACGTGCCGTGGCTTGGTGAGGACACTGCTGGGCCCGGCAGGCTTTTTTCCCCCTTGTGTCAAAAGTTTTTACATTTACAGAGTGCAAGTGAAGTAGCTCCCGCTCGCACGTACTGTACATTTAGTAGGCAAGGGCCTATTTTTTTGGGATTAGTTCCACATAAATTTAAAATGAAATGTAAGTCGAAGGGAAAGATAACTGAAGAGTTGCTGTTATTTTTGTTCCTAACAATCTAAATTGCCACAAAGTTCATGTTGTTGTTTTTTACTTTTTAACTCTATAGGGGTTATGTTCAAATGAGTTCTGTCATGGCGCTACTTTCTCCTCTTAAAAATACTGACATTTGTGACCAAACCAAAGACACTTTTCGATAAAGGTGGAAATGATTCAAAGGTTTAGTTCAAATTCAAAATTATTTTGAAATAAGCAAACCTTTCTGTAGTTTATTTCGCTTGCTGTCATTGTGTTGGCTTTAATCTTTGAACTGTAGTTTATATTTATTGCATTTTGCCTACATTGTTGGAGTTGGAATTTAATTCCAGCAGACAAGGTGGGTCTTTGTTTGTGTTTGACAAGGAAGTTCAACTTTTGTCCTTAAAACGCGACGATGTTTGTCATCGATCTGCTCTACGGCCACCAGTAAAGCCGCGCCGAGGTCAGAGGTCACGTCAAAATTCCAGCTGTCTGCTCCGGATAGCAAACATGCCGAAGGGTGCCAAAGATCACGATCAGGGAGCTTCACGGAAGGAAAGAAACGAATACAAAAAAATCAAGATGCATAATATTAGCATGATATTTGCTTTTGGAATACTACGACACCCTAGTGATCCTCATTTATGCTAACACGTTATGCTAACATGATCGACTCAAGTCCCTTGCGTCGATTTTTCTGGCACCGACGGCGTACACAAACCGGTGCGAGTGCAGGTTACTGAATAATCCGTTGACCCGTCGGTCATAATCCTTTAAAAAAAAAAAAAAAAAAGTGCTGACTTTACCCAGTTGCACGGTCGAGCATGTTTTGACAATAAAGGATCTGGTGATACCAGAGCAGCTGATCTCAGGTGGATGCTTTGAGTAAGCTGACTTGTTTTTTGTTTTTTGTTTTTTTTGGAAATGCACATGAGAGAACCCGGTTGCATAATCTCTTCTGCATACTTTGCGAACACGTTTGCTCGCTGTTGACTCTTTTCTATCCACTCTGACCCAGTGGGAAAACCAGTTTACAGTTGTATTTTCAACTATTCGTTTCACTTGAACACCTTTTTCTTTTCCCCGCTAAAATAAACGTCCTCATATGTTTTGGAATCTGCTTCATCTTCAACATTTAAATCCATTTAGGAACTCTGGGGTCGGGCCTTTCTACATGAGTTACTACATCCGTTTAATAACCACAGAGACTCCCTGATGGTTAATTTTTAAGTACGGTAAATAGCAAAGAGCAGAAACTACATGTTCGTCAAGTTCTCAGCTGTTGCCCTTAACTGCGTGGCATGCTGGGACGTGTAATCCAAGTCTGATGCAGGTAGAATAAACCTAAACTCAGATTTAGATCTCCATTGTTTATCTGATATAGATAAACTGATATAGATCTCCATTGTTTATCTATATATATATATATAGGATGATTTTTAATAGAGGAGATTTTTTTCGAAAGCAAAGCTGAGCACATATTGCCTTTTTTCTCTTGGTTTTTAGAAAGTGCTGTATTTTATCCATCTACATTTCGTGTATTGGCTTAAAGTTCACAGTGTCCCGTTTCTTTTTTAAAGCCCTCATAATTTGTCTCCTTTTTTTCATTGGATTAGTAGTCAAAGCTGTGTTAGAGCCTTTTCTCCAAAAGCTCTCAAATCTCTGCAAATAGCAGGATTCTCACTATTAATCGATTATGTCAGCAAAACAAGCACACCTGTGTTTAAAGCTCGTATCATATTGTACGAGAGCGTAGAGACGATGGGCTTAAAGGGAAAGTTCAGTGTTTCTCATGTTTTTTTTTTTCCTTCTTAGAGATCCTTTCAGCTAAGCATTTGCTGAAATGCCGAGAAAAGGGCGAGAAACCGGCGTCCAGGGCGGGGAAAAACACTGACAGGCTTTAAAACGCATCCCGAGCTGATAAGAAGATCCGATAAAAGGCCCGAGCTTCCCAACGTATGCAGAGGGAATGTTTTCACACACGTGTCACACTAAGATACGCCTAGTCAGCTTTGATAAGTTCAGATGATCTAACGTGTCCGGGCAGGCGTCTGTACTCGATTTTAGTCCGTTTTTGGGGAAAAATGGGGAGAATTCCGGTTTTTTTTTTCGCTTTAAAAAAAAAAAAAGTCCAGGCCTATTGATTTTGCATTTGTTTTTCGAAGGATCACATGTTTCCCGTGTCGTTAAAAGCCCCCCAAAAAAGCGGCAAATTTTTATTTTTTTTGTCTTTTTTGTGGTGAGGTTTGATCTGAGCTTGAAGCCACAGGTGTCTGTGTTTTTTTTTGTGTTTTTTTTTACATCTTAAAAACCAGCAAAATTAGATTCTTTCTTATGAAGTAACGCACCCATTTATGGTGCATATATCTGTGTAAATAATAAAAAACCTGCTTTTTTTTTTTTTAAAGCGTTCCTCTCAGCTTAGAGTAACTTGACGCCACAAAAGAACTGATGACGGAAGCAGAATATTTATGTGGCATGTGTCCCCATAACATGAAATCAGACATTTGAGCGTGTTTATAGAATACGATCCCGGATCGCTGATATTTGCACATTAGAAAATGTTACGAATCGGAGCATTTGTAATTTAATTAATTGAAATCATTACATTTTTTCCCGTTCAGATGGAAATCATTTGAAAAAATAGGCATAAATGTTTACAGATTGAACCATAGTACCAGTCTGTTGTTCCTGTAGAGAAAAAAAACTTGTCTGAAGTGGGATCGAGATTCAAACGGACCAATCAGGGGTGTCGAAATGCTCAATTTAGTATAGTTATAGTTATAGCGCATGACAATGTTGTCATATATGTGAATAGCAGGGCTCTACACTGTCTGTTTGCAGTTCTACCGGGGGGGCTGGCCCAAGCAGATTCCGACTTTGGCCCCCCGATCAGCCGGCTAAAAATAAACCGGCGGGGTTTATTTCGGACGGAAGCGGTGTCCGATTGCCCCGGGGGCGGATAGGAAGATGCAGTCGGACACGTAACAAGCAGTGGGTTTTTTCCCAATTAGATATTTAAAAAAGAAAGAAAACAGAACACGGACACTAACCGATTGGAGTTGTTTCCTCACAGTATTCAGCACGACGCCGCACACCGAAGCTAGTCGGGATTACGGGAAACAAATCGAGGCTGCGAATGCTCGAATTAGTTTTGCCGAATTTTTTTTAATTTTTTTAAATTTTTTTAAAAATTTTTTATTATTATTATTATTTTTTACCTTGTCCTGTTCAGCATTATGGCAGCAGAACTCAAAATCCGAGTACCGTGCTATGCTGAACAATATTGCTTTGCCAAGGGAGGCTTTGTTAGTGAGAAGCCCCCCCTTGATTACCCAAAACGTCTTTATTTATTCATTTTTGTTACCAAACTTCCACGTGTCCAATAATGCCGAACCTGACAGAGGGACAGGGGGGAGGGAAGAGTAGTGGAAAGGAGAGAAATCCTTTAGAAAGGGAGTTTTGCCCATTTTAAGATGAGAAGATAAGAACCACCGAAAAACCCGGAATGGTCGACATCGGTCCAAAAAAAAAAAGGGACGCGCGAATGAATGAATGAATCTATTAACAAGAATGAGATGACGGTATCTACAAACCTACTCCCGCCCCCTCCCCCCGAAAACCTTCGGCTTCCTCCGTCGACACCCGTCTGTTTCCTTTTTCCTGTTTTGGCCCGAGCGGCGGAGGCCCGGGGAGGGTCACTCTCTGGGTTTTTGAATCCAGAAACGGAGGGAGGAGGAGGAGGAGGAGGGAGGAGGAGGGAATGGCCGAAAGGGGAATGAAAGAGGCGTGAGAAGCCGGACAACAGAGGTTGGTGTGTTTTGTAACGCAGTCACGTCCGGACAGAAAAAAGAGAATGAGAGAGGGGAAGTTTTGGAGCATAAAGAAACAGAATCAAAGTCTTGATGTGGGAAAGAAAAGCGAGAAAAACGTTAACTGCAGATTGACCGGAGGGAATAAACGAGGCGATAGGAGTTTTTTTTAATTTATTTATTTTTGCTCTCGGGGGAAAATTGTGGAGCGAACTGGGTATTTTGGGGGGGGGTGAGCTCAACTTATATGACTCAAGATCAACTTAACATTATGAATGTTATCTCAATAACTCATAATCAATACTTATTTTTTTGTTTTTTCCCGAGGGAGCGAGTTAATAATATATATCCACAATATGGAGTTTCTTCCATTGAGGTGTTAGAAAATAATCCAGATCTGTGTATTTCTTTTACAAAAAAACAAAAACAACCTGTTGCTATTTAATTTTAGCTGTGAGCTTAAGGTCAGTTTTATCAAATGAACAGCGACGTTCCTCAAAATCTAATCCCGACCCTCCTCTTTGTTTCGTTTTGTTTCATCCTTCGAAAAGTTTAAACGGTCAGTTTAAAAAAAAAAGTTAGTAAAGGCAGGAGAAATAATTAAATGAGAAAAGAAGTCGACTTAATCCAATCGCAGTGAGGCATTTGGCTTGTCTTTTCTTCTTTGAAAATGCTCCTTAACAGAAGAGCTCAGCGACGCACGTCGGGTTTTGCTATCCGTCCATTCGTTTGTTAATCATTGACCTCTTTATTTTATTTGTTTTTTTTACACGGAAGTGCAGCTTTTTAGACGATCCGTCTTTCACAATGTCTCTTTATTTTGAACAACACCCCTCAGTAAAACCTGTAAAGTCGTCCAGCCATCGGAGTGGAAAAAATTTGAATCTGGACGGCGAAAATGGCCTCTAGTTTGAGCGTAGGACGATAAAGGAGTTTGCAGGGATCGGGCTCCCCCCTTTTTAAACCAAACGCAGGATATAGTTGCAAACTGAGGCTAAAAAAATACAACAAAAAAACAACCCAACGGAGTGGCTTCAACACTTCATCTTTAAACACCTGTTGAGCTGCACAGGTGCTCGGCTCTATTTTATTAATTTTTTTGCTCGCCAAGTCTTGCCCGGTTAATCATCAGTTTTGCGACAACCCGCCGCGGTTCCGAACAAGAACTTATAAAAACCAAACAACGCTCATCACGCGGTCAGAGGGTTGCTCGCTTCTCCTATTGGTTTCATTTTGACAGCATTCTCAGTCGTGGGGGGACATGCGGCCTGATTTACCTTTTTTAGGGAAAACCAAAAGGTAAAGTCTACGTTTCGGTTCCCATGCATTTAAATAAAAAAAAAAAAATAAAAAAAGTAAGCTGGGGTAAGCTTATCATTATGTCATTTCAAACCAGAAGCGGGGGGTCCTGTTGACCGTCCCGAAGTCCAGACGGGGGCGGTTGCTGCACGTCAAGCCGTTTAGGCGATTTTCTTTTTTTCTTCTTCTATTTCACAAAAAAGAATAACAAGACGTCTTTTTTTTTTTTTTTTTCTTCCTTCGCAGGTTCTTCCCCCTGTCTGTCCTCCAAGAAGCCCCGGAGCCGAGGCCTCTTCTCCAGCCTGTTTTGCTGCGTGTGCCGGGAGCCGTCGGAACCCCAGCCGGTCAACAACAACGCCCCCCTCTTAGTGGAGGAGAATGGAACGGTCTCCAAGGTGCGTCTCTCATCTCAACCCTCCCCCCCCTCCCCCGATTGATTTCCGGACTCAAAATCCTTTTTTTTTTTGTTTCCCATATCACTTTGCATTTCCGGTCAGCTCTGGATTGTTTGCCCGCCATCCTCCTGAATTTTTTCAAGCACCCAGGCTTTAGGAACGGTTCATTTTTGGGTTTTTTTTTTTCAGATCCAGGCCAAACCGCTGCTGCCTCCGGTCAAGTCGAAAGACGCCGGAAAGATCTGCGTGGTCATCGACCTGGACGAGACGCTGGTTCACAGCTCTTTTAAGGTGAGCCCATCTCAGAAATGCTCAAAAGTACCCCGAGAAAACACAACACAACATAACATATGAGGGCACTGGATAGGAACGCTCGAGAGCGAGGAGGTCCGTCTGGTTGTCGTTGGCTCTGGCTTAGACATTTTTGTCGTAGCTGGCGAAAGCCGAACCCCAGACTAAATTATATCCTTTTATTTGCAAATGCACCAAGGTGGCCTTTGCCTTCTGTTTTTTTTTTTAAGGTGGCCTTTGCCTTCTGTTTATTTATTTATTTATTTTTATTTATTTATTTATTTTTTTAATCTCTACTTTGTCCACTCTTGACCATAAACCTCCTCCTTTTTCCTTTCTCTCTCCTCCCAGCCCGTGAACAACGCGGATTTCATCATTCCCGTGGAAATAGACGGCACAGTACACCAGGTAAAACCAGCGTCAAACCAGCCGGCCTCCCCACCGACAAATCGCGCTCGCCATCCTGCCGTCTTGCCGTTTAAGAGATCCGAAGACGCGCCGCTTTGGGTCCGGGCCTGATTCAAGTAATCCAGGATAGGTTTGTTCAGACAAGCACAGCCTGTTCCGGATGACTTGGTTCAGGAACGCTTCCCCCTCAGTCAGCCAACGCGGCAGTGAGAAGAAGAAGAAGAAGAAGAAGAAGAAGAAGAAGAAGAAAGAGGAGGAGGAGAGGGGGGTAGAGGAGCCTCATCAATGCTAAACCCTTCTCCGTTTTATGATTTATGTCCACGTCTTTAAACGCAGCTTCCTCTGCCTGTCGGGACTTCACCCCGACTCGCATATCCACTCGTACTGTGTTAACGCAAAACCGAAAGCCCAGATCTGTTAGACAAGCTTGACATTAACATTTTTTGTTGTTCTTCTATGGGGGAAGTATGAATGAACCTGTTTTTTTTTTTTACACCTCGCGTTTCCAGGTGTACGTCCTGAAGCGGCCGCACGTGGACGAGTTCCTGAAGCGGATGGGGGAGCTCTTCGAGTGCGTCCTGTTCACCGCCAGTTTAGCCAAGGTAACCACGAACGGGGGGGGGACGGACCCGTGGGCTAATACGGATTCGCCGTGTTGAGTAACCGGAATCTGGACAACCTTTAATACAACGTATACACATAATTAAAAACAAAACAAAAAAACTTAAGTAGTAAAGTAGTTGTAACAGTAACCAGGCTGCAAAATAAACTCACATACAAGAAATAAACAAAATGTTTTGCTACGTTTGTTGTCCATGTGCCAAAATCCATTGATAAAATCAATTTTTTTCCCCCCCCTCAGTATGCAGACCCGGTCTCCGATCTCCTGGACAAGTGGGGGGCGTTCCGCTGCCGCCTCTTCCGGGAGTCCTGCGTCTTCCACCGGGGGAACTACGTCAAGGACCTGAGCCGCCTGGGCCGCGACCTCAACAAAGTCATCATCGTGGACAACTCGCCCGCCTCCTACATCTTCCACCCCGACAACGCAGTGAGTGCCCACCCTACCTCCTTCTCAAATCTATTTTTAGAATGGCGCTTCAGGCTATTTCTCCAATTTCTTTAATCCTCTCTTAAGTGTCAGTTGAGTGGATGAAGTCAGTTGAAGGGAATATATAGAAGTTGTGTTTTGATAATAGGAAGTCCAATTTTTTACCTTTTCACCTTTCACAAATCCACTGAAATTAACCCTATAAGGCCAAATGTATCATATTTGATACATACTGTTTCTGAAATGTTTTGCGTCTGACTCCTTTTGCATAATTTAATGGTAAAAACATTGCTCAAAATCCTATTGTACACAATCAGATAGGGGGCAAAAGACTATACAAAAAATTATCTTGACTTATCGCATTGTGATAAATTATTAATATTAAAAATGAATTTCTGTTTTTTTCTTTTTACATATTTTGTTAAAAGGCCAAATAAGTAATTCAAACAAAAAAAAAAGTTATTTTCTGTTTTGTTTTATTCCTTGATCAGGCTTTAAAGGGTTTAGTACAAACCATTATGTTTATTTTTTTATTTTAATTTTGATTACATTTTTACATCAATCAATCAATCAATGTTTATTTATATAGCACTTTACAACAACTGGAGCTGATCAAAGTGTAAAAATGTGGATTTAGTTTTTTTACCCATCTGAGAGTTTGTTAGTTAGTTGAGGAATGTGTGTGTCCAGTCCGAGCGTTAAATCTTCGGAAAGTCGCAGTAGCATGTCTTGTGTTTTGTTTTTGTCCCGTTTTTTTTCCGTCCAGGTACCCGTGGCCTCGTGGTTCGACGACATGTCCGACACCGAGCTGCTGGACCTCATCCCGTTCTTCGAGAGGCTGAGCAAAGTGGACAGCGTCTACACGGTCCTCAAGCACCAAGGGACCGCCAGCTAACGGCGCCCGCCAAACCCCCCCCCCAACCCCCTCATCTCAGCTCCGAACAAAAACGGCGTACACACACGAAAGCGAGGCTCCGTCTCCAGCGATCACTGCCCAACACACACACACACACACACACACACACACACAGGCTGCTTCACGGCTAAAACCAGCCATGCCCTCTCGCCCCCCCACGTCCCCCCACCCCTCATATCCTCCACCTTCATTTTTAGGGCGCCTTCAGTGACTTTGACAGTGTTAACGCTGCCACCCGCTGGTCACCCAGGGCAACTGACGCAACTGAGTGCGAACGGATGAGAGGATGAGTAAAAAAAAAAAAAAAGTCTAATGACGCGTCCACAGCATAAAATGAACTGGCAGGCAGAGGCGTCGAGCCACGGGGGCCCCCCTCCGGATACAGACCGGGTACTGGACGCTGACTTCTCCAAGGTCCGATCCCGATTGTAAGCGCTAATTTTATCGAATGGGGGAATCTTTTTATCGGAACGGTTTACGTGCAAACGCAGTCGGTCGGCCATTGGAAAACGCAGATGGGTGTACATGTACTGTAGATTGTAAATGTCTTTTAAACATTTTTGGAATCACATTATCATTTTCGCACGCCCTAATTTTGCCGAGTGTCACTATTTGTCTAAAGTGAAGCGGATTGGTATCATTTTTTTTTTGTTGAGATTTTAGAGCTATGTGATCAGGTATTTTTTAAATAATCGCGACAGTGTTATTGATGAATCAGATTCCGCCGGGGCTGTAGTGTCAAAATATAATCAGGACATGTGGAGATGACTTATAAGGAAATAATTGGAGAGCACTTTACAGGTCGGAGGTGTCAACCGTAGTGCGAATACCTCTGTCACTACAGTGAGTAAGTTGATTTTCATACTTCGGCTTAGAAAAATAGATCCTCCATTTGGGATGTTGACATTAGCGTCAAATGAATCAATTTGTGTTTTTGCTGGAGAAGACAACACGGCTCTACTTTTTAGACCCCCCCCCCTTTTTTGTTTTGTTTTGATCTGCTCCATAAAACGGTGAACCAGGTTATAGAATCAAAGCCCCCAGACAGTAGCGTTTTTTTTCCCTCCAAACCTGATGCTAGCGTGTCGCTATCCAATCAGGTCGGACGCACAATTAGACACCGTCGGTGTCTATGTGGACGCAGTGACCAGTTGGTTCCGGAGTTAAGAGGACCAGGATTTAATCCCTGCCCCCCCCCCAAAAAAAATCTCGATATATCTGACTCGTTTTAAAAGGCTACGCACAAACCTTGTATTCTTTACTGCATTTTACAGATTTTCTCAGTCAAGGTTATCTTTTGCCTCCCTAAGCGGTACCTGTGAAAAGGCAGTTCAATCCAGTCCATATTCGAGGGACAAGTCCTCCCTGAAACTTGACACTATCTGTGAGCGAGGCGACAGCAGAGTGCGTTTCTTCCGGATTGTCTTTATTTCTTTTTTTTTTTTGTCACCTAAGCGAGAACCTTAGAGGATAATTCCATATCGTGCAGCTACGTTAGAGCTCAATAGTTATATAAAACAGAATTTGTAAATACCACCTTCTCCTCAAGCATTTAAACATGGCATAAAAAATGTATTCTTGCCTACCCCGTGAATGGCAGCAGAATGCAAGCAGGCGGGGGTTTAGGGTGGAATTTTCCTTTTTCTAATCTCACGCTTTGAGATCTTTTGTTTGTTGTCCGTTTCTCTCTTCATACGAATGTTTGTCGTCGTCAGAAAAAGAGCAACACGGTGGCCAACAGCCTTGTTATCTCCCTCGTTTGCGTTGACAATACCTTGTGTCGACACATGAATGAAAAAAAAAAGATGGTGGGTTTGACTAAGAGCCTGGATCGCAGGCTTGTTTTGGAGCAGGGACGTAATTAAATCCACCACTTTTAAGAGCTATTGCCTTATTTTTCTATGTTAACTGAGTTCTTGTCAATCAAATTAGTCTTTTAAAAAGAAATAAACAAAAAAAAAAATGTCGATACCGATTTTTATCTCTTCTTTTGCCCACGATTGGTCCTTCGATATAATATTTAGAGCATGTTTTCCAACCGGAAATGTTGCTCTTGCTGTTTTTCACACAAGACCCGGTTGGATAACTAACGTGTTAACCGGCAGAATAAGGATCAGAAACACCAGCAAATGAAAATATAGCATCTTACTGTTGTAGGCACATAACAGGGTAACAGTTATGAATTGTGTATTTGATTCAAGCCATCACCACATGTTTCAGTTAGATTCAGTTCTGATGCTGTTTCAGATCCATTGATAATAAGGCATATTTATAGGAAAATTCAGTCATTCTCTCTTTTGTTGTCATTTACCATGAGTATTGTGTCACTGTGGGGGCCCATTTGCTGATACTGTACTTCTTACACATTCAGTAGATATGTATATGTTGTTTTGCACAGTAATAAAGCAAGCAAATTTCATTAATATATGGAATATTCATGTTACTGTACTTATGATTCAATAGATGTAACCTAATTTTTCGACTTTGTTGTTTTATCATACCAAATAATGTATGGACTGTATGAAATAATGCCATTTTTTCCATAAATGCTTAATGAAAGATGGTCAAAGTGCTGTTTGAGAAGGCTTTTTTCCCCCCTCAAGTGGACAAGATTCTAACTTGTCAATTCTGTGTATGTACTGATTTTCTTTTTTCTTTTTTTCTTTTTTTAGATACACTTAGGGAGGGTCAGTAAGTTTGCAATCACTTATCTTTTTAAAACTATGACCATCTCATAGTCATACATTTCTGAGAAATGCTGTTCAGTCCGACCGCAGAGTGCTAAAGGATTTCGCAGTTTTTTTTTATTTCTTTTTTTTTTGGCTACGGATTATTAGAAAATTACAGACCTTTCCTCGCCAAACATCAACTGGTGTTGAGCTCAAGTCAGTAGGGTAATTGACAATGGTTATTCATTTATTTGGAGCTTTTCATCCAAGAACTTTCAGTGAAATCAACTAAAAAATCTCTAGACATTAGTAAATTTTATCTACAATGTACAAAAAAAAGAAAAGCATGTCGCGTCTAATCCCACTCAAGCTTTGAGTCTGAAACGGGAGGAATTTTAAGATCTTTCGGACTGACTTCGGGGCTCGGCATGCTTGTTGCCTCCTACTCGCCGAGCACGCTGAGCGTGGCGCTGCTCTTTGCCTTGCCCATGGTAAACTTCACAATCCCGCTCATTTCCGCGTTGGTTTCCTTCAGGGTAAGCTTGTAGACCGTCCCCTGGTTTTCCAGGCGGACGGAAGGGCCTGGCTGAAGGGTTGCTCCGTTCAGAGTCCAAACTGGGGGCTTATTTATGGCGACGGACACCTCGCACTGGAAAGAGGCCGGTTCCGACTCTGCCACCTCCACGTCTTCCAGCTCTCTTACCACCACGAGGGCCTGGGCTGTAGAAGAAACGACGGCAGGATTTCACACGAGTTGGTTCAGGGTCCGCCTTAGCCCCTCCAGCCAAACTTACCCTCAACCATCAGCTTGGCGCTGGATGTGTGCTCCCCGACCTCGATGCTGTAGGTGCCCTCGTCCTCAACGTCCACCTGGTGGATCACCAGTTTTTGGGAGCAGCCGTCGTCCACGATCTCCAGGCGATCCGAGGAAACCAGCTCCCGCCCGCCCCTGTACCAGGTGGCGCAGCAGCGGGGCGATGACACGGTGCATTCCAGGATGACGCGGTGCTTCTCCAGGGCCGTTCGGTCCCGCAGGGGCTTCACGATGGAAACCGGAAGCTCTAAAAATCAGAGGATCCTTCTTGATCAGAGGATCAAGAAGGATCGAGAAGGAAGGGAGGGGTGCAAAGATGGACTCACCTTCAACCTCGAGGAGGGCTGTTGACTCGACCTCCCTGGCAACGAAACGGATTTCCCCAGCATCCTCTGCTTTAACGTTACACATCAGTAGGAAGTGTTTGGTCCCTGGGAGACGAAAGCCGTTTAAATCTCACTGAGTGATACACCTAACCACACATGGTTATAGCTGAATACTTTTTTTTTTTTTTTTATTAGGCTACGCTGCGGCCCGTTATAACTGAATACTTAATAAACTCTACATAAACTCTAAAATGTATTCTCTTCTCCCTCCACTCTTTTCTGCCTACGAAAGTTACTTGTAAACTGCTATCAAGTTTACTTACATTTTTACATCTTACATATAAAATACACTGCCTGTCTAAGGATTGATACTCAGGACTGACTGGCATCAGCTCCCCCTACTTATCCACCCCGTCCCTCTCCAACCTTCAGTGCGCATCTTTGTCGTGCTGGTGGGGCGGATCTTGTGGCCGTCCTTGTACCACTCCCCGCCGACGTCCTCCAGAGAAACTTCGCACATGAAGACGGCATTCTGATCCTCTTGGATGTAGAGATCCTCCAGGTCTTGAACTATCTCCAGCTCGTGTTCTGCGCAGGTTGTCAAAACATGATATGTTGATGATCAGACTCTAGGTTTCAAAGGAAAATGTGTTCGGGAAGGGTTTCAGAATGCGGCTACCGTAAACGTCCAAGGAACAGCATGTGCGGACGTCCCCCGTGTCGCACGTGTAGGATCCCGAGTCAGATGGGGCGCATTGCAGGATCTGGCAGAACCTCTTCCGACCCATCGAGTAGATCCGACAGTTCTTTCCGGGTTTCAGCTCAGACCCATTCTAAGTGACAGATATAGGACGTTATTTATCAAAGAGGCCATTGTCAGAAGAGAACCAAACCGAGTATCTCAGGGTTTGCTTTACCTTAAACCATCTGACTTCAACATTTTGTCTGGAGAATTCACACTCCAGAGTTGCAGGGAATTCTTCCTCTACGCGTACATCACCCAGATGTTTCAGGATGGACACCGGTGTCTCTATTACGACAGCAAAGAGAACTTTATGGGTCATGCTTTTGCTTCAAATCCAAGAAACAGTATGTGTAAAGGCGTGCTTGAGAACCATAGTGTTCCTTTTTATGACCAATGAAAACCAAATGAGGCTTGAATTTACCTCTAACTGTGAGCCTGGCAGTGGTGCGCACCCCTTCAGCTGAGAAGACGATGGTGCCCGTGTCCTCCAGAGTCAGATTGGACAGGGTGAGACCGTGGACGAGCCCGTTGGTGCTCACGCGCCACTGGCTGTTTGGCTTGATTCGGATGCCGTCCTTCTGCCAGACGCCTTCCACGTCCGTGTGGGAGATCTCCACTTCGAAGGAGGCGGTCTCTCGTTCGAAGGTTTCTTGGTCGGTCAGGCCTTTGCGGATGGATATTTTCCGGGCTGATCGGAAGAGGAGCGCAAGTGAGCGGAGTTTGTTTTGTTGGAATCGTGTCAAGAATTAAAAGCTATTTTCAATCCTTGCTCTCTTCTAGGTTGCTTTTGGTTCACAGATCAGATCATGGCAGTGCAATGTAAATAAATGGAAAGTACGTGGAATTGCAGAGGAAAACTTAGAATATGAGCCACATTTGAAATGAAAACATTTTAACCTATTTGTAATGGTGTTATTTTTTCCAAATACCAGCGCTGTTACAGCCAGACTTACACTTTCGCCGTGCCTTCAAACTTCTCTGCGTTTCGAGGGCAATAAAAGGTTGTTTAACAACACCTGCAGAGGCTCTCCATTGTCATGGTGTCACTGTGTTGTTGTGTAACACCGAGGCTGGGTTTCAAAGCCCTTTTCACACTTACAAGGTTGGCCATACTATTCTTAGTGCCTTTTTTCACTCTGACATGCAGTGAAAAACACCTTTGATATGTACCACACTTTGCCAGCGCTTATCTGTGGCAGATGAAAAGAAATCTTTCCTGGAAAAAAGCTTCTAAAAATAAATATTTGACTTTGGTGTTTCATTGTAAGGACTGATGCTTTTCTGTGAACAATTATTATGTCATTTTAAATACACTCAACCAGTATCTCTCTCTCTCTCTCTGGATTCAGTCCTAGCCACACGTATAACTGCGGACCTTGGGTTTTATTTATATTCAGATAACCTCGCAAACATTTAATCCAAGCTAAAATCATAAAAAGCGCTTACGTTCTACATTGAGTTTGACCTGTGTCCGGTCGTGCAGAGTCTCGCAGCGGTAGGTTCCTCGGTCCGACAGAGTGAGGTTGTGGATGGTGAGGCTGCGCTTGCAGCCGTCCTGGGCCAGTGTGTGTCTGGGCCCGGACATGATGACCACCCCCTGCCTCATCCACTGGACCTCACCGGTCTCCAGGCTGATCTCCGTCTCTAAGGTGGCCTCGCCGAGCTCCTCCGCCATAACGGCATCCATCTTCTTAGTAAACATTATCTGAGCCTCTGAAGATAAACGAAATGGAGATTACTCTGAGCTCTGAGGTAGTTTTGGTAATATTACCTAGATAATGACCTCACCCTGCACTTTGAGGCTGGCTTTGCTCATCTTTCCTTCGGCCTCTGCTGTGATCCTTGAGCAATCTAACATCTGGCACTTTTTGATGACTAAAGTGTGACACAATCCGTTCTGGGTCGCCTGGAAACGATCCCCCAAGGTGATGGGCTCATTATCCATGAGCCAGATCAGCTGCACGTCATCGGGGGAAACGACACACTTGAACGTGGCGTCTTCACCTTCCAGCACAGTGGTGTTGTGAAGCTCGGTGAGGAACTCTACCACCCGGGGCACTGGAGGAGCCAAGGGACAGTTAATGAGGCAGCTTTCCTGGTGGACAAAAGCTGAATTTAGGATCCCGGAGTTTACTTACGCTCTACTCTTAACGTCGCAGTGGTCCGGTCATCTCTGGACTCGCAGATGTATTCGCCCGCATCATCTCGAGTTAAACGGTGGATGGTCAGGCTCCTCTCAACCCCATCTGCCCGAATGGTGAACCTCCTGCTAGGGACCACTTCTGCGCCGTTTTTCAGCCACTGGACGTCTGCTTTTGGTTTGCAAACCTCACAGCGCAACGTCACCATGCCGTCGGCATGGGCCACCGTGTTTCGGAGGGGCTTCACAAATTTAATCCTCATTTCTGTGAAGAATTTTTTTTTTTTTTAAATAAAACCTTTCCAAAAATATAATCTCCACTATGTAATGAAATAAAAATTCTAACCTTTCACCAGCAGACTGAAGCGGGCCTGGTCTGTGTTGGCATCACAAGTGTATTCACCAGCATCGGATCGCCTCAAAGGCTCGATGGTGAGGGTGCGTTTATGGCCCTCCATCAGAGCTCGGAAACGTTCACCCTCGACGAGTGTCCAGTCCTTCATCCACCGAACTTGGGCACTATCCTTGGACACGTAGCAGGAGAAGGTCACCGCCTCTGCCTCGTACCCCGTCACAACGACGTCCTCCTCCTTGTTAACAAAAGTAACTGGAGGATCTTGTGTGGGGAATAAGGGCAAATATCAGCTACCTTTGGGATTTCTTTGCTCTAGGGATTTCTTTGGGAGGCAGACAAACATGGGGGCGTACCTTGGATCCTGACTATGCTGATCATCTTGTCATCAATGGCATCACACACATACTTTCCAGAATCAGTGGGCTGCATACTTGAAATGATAAGTTTCCTCAGTGTACCGTAGCTCTCAATGTAGGTACGAGAATCATTGGTAAGCAGCTTGTCGTTACAGTACCACTGCACCGGGGCATTGGCCCGGGACACCTCACAGGCCAGGATGAGGTCATTGCCTGCCACCATTTCCTGGTAGTCGGGGTCATATGAGTTCCCTACAATGGTTACTGGAGGCTCTGGGGGCAAGAGGTTCGTACAGTTACTTCTATTTGTGTTTGTTTCGGAAAGCAAAATCAACAAAAAAAAAAAAGCTACCTTCAATTGTAACCTGGAAGCTGATGCTGTCGTCTCCGACATCCAGGAAGTATTCCCCTGAATCGCTGAGCTCAGCGTTGAGGATGACGAGCGATCGAAAAGCCCCTTCTTCCTCTTCACAGAACCGGTCATTGCCTTCGACTCGACGGCCGTCCTTGTACCATTTGACCACGGTATTGGCTCTGGAGAGCTCGCATTCCAGAACGATGTCATCCGATAGCAGAAACTTTAGATCTGTGTTGATCTCCGACTTTCTCAAGATCTTCACTGGTGGCTCTGAGGAAGGAGAATTTCACGTTGCACGTTACAGTGCTGTTATGAACATAAGAAAAACCCCTTGGTGTCACCTACCTGACACTTTGACTTGGAAATCTATTTTATCATCCATGGCATTGCAGGTATACACCCCAGAATCCTCTGGGGTGGGATTGTGGATGGTCAGGCGACGAATTGAGCCATCCTCTGTGATGGTGACATTGTCACTTGGCTTTACTTCTATGCCATTTAGCCACCACTTGACTTCTGCCGTCACCCGGGACACCTCTGTCTCCAGAACAATTGGTTTGCCGGCACAGGTGTCCAGTCTGTCAGGTTTGTTTTCAGGGCGCGTAAGCACCACTGGTGGCTCTAAATGTAAACAATGTCAAAATTCAATAAAAAAAAGGTAAAAGACTGATCTTTTTTGTCAGAAATATCTATCTTAAGTGTCTCTCCTCCTTACCTGTAACACTGACCAAGAAGGCCACAGAGTCGTCTTCAGTGTCACATACATACTCTCCTGTGTCGTCCACTGTGGTCAAAGGTATAACCAGCCGACGTTTGGCCCCATCCACCTCCAATATCAAGTTTGAACTCTCCTCTACCTCTAAACTATCTTTGAACCACAGAACTGGAGCGTCAGACTTGGAAATCTCACAGCTAAGCTCCAGCCTCTTTGAGGCCAAAACGCTCATTTCCACCTCCGACTCACAGGGACAAATAACTCGAACTGGTGCATCTGGCACAGGAAAACGTTGAAATCAATCCACTGAAGCTTAGCGAGGATATTTCACATTGCATTCATACAATTGGAGGTTTTACCTTTGACAGTAAGCTGAAAAAAGACAGAGTCTCCATCAGTTTCACAGACATACTCCCCACTATCCTCCCTTGAGCCACAGAGGATGGTCAGCCTTCTGTAAGGACCCTCCGATATCAACTGGATGTTGTCACATTCCTGCACCTCCCGGCCATCTTTCAGCCATCTCACGCTCCCGCTCGAACGTGATAACTCGCACTGCAACTGGATCTCTTCCGATACGTAACCCTCCACGACCATGTCATCCTTTGGTTCTACAATCATGACTGGAGGCTCTGGGTTCATCGTCGAAGGAAGAAAAGGGAGGAGGAGACATCTGGTTGGCTGTGTTATCATCATCTATCTGGACCAGCAGATGTCTGAAGTCAGGATACCTCTGATATCCACTGCAAACTCCACACCGTTGCTTCCCGCCTGGCATTTGTAGCTTCCGGCATCCGAAGTTTCTGCAGAGCGAATGATCAGCCTCCTCATGGTTCCCTCTGCCTGCAGAGTGATGTTGTCACTCGGCTGGATCTCGCGTCCATTCTTAAACCTGAGTCACAAGTTAGTCAAAAACAAGTGTAAAGAAGAGCTTTTCAATTTACAGACTATTTGTGTTCAAGCAGAGAAGCCTCTGAAGAATGTTTTGGGGAATCACACACAAGAGATATAAAGGTTCAGAGAATTCTTTCAGTTTGTGCCCTTTATCCAGATTTGCAACCTTATGAAATTGACAAAAACACAACTTTCCTGAACTATTTTCAATAATCAATGAGGATATCGAGGACCCCCATCCTCACCCCCACTTTCACCCTTCAAACCAAGTAATTTGTGTTCTCTCTTGGTTGAGCTTCTACTTTCTTTGTTATTAGTCTTTTTTCCCGTTTGAGTTTCAGTGGGATTTTCGATCTTATATACTGTTGTTTTTTTAACTTTCTTGAATTTCTAGTTCTTGTTTTTCTTCCGATTCCCTTTTCCTCAGTTTTAATTTGGTGTCTGTTATTTTCTGTTTCGCCCCCCTGTGTTTCTGCCAGCTTCATGCTCCCCATTTTCTTCCTGCCTGCTTTTGGTTCCGACCACAATTCCTGTTTGTTTTCTTAATATTAATTTATATAAATAAATATAATATGTAATATATAAAACAATAATGGCCCAAAGTATCATTTCCACGTTCTCTGAAAAAGGCCATGTTCTTTCAACGTAGGTCGTGGTTTTAATAACAGCTTATATTTTTTGTTGTCATGTAAGAAGGCACTCACAATATTTTTCCTGATGTTTTCGCCTCTTTCTGCCTTACCACACTACTTCAGCATCCTCTGCAGAGACATGGCAGAGCAGCACCACAGGGTCCAGCTCCATGCTGCTCTTATGGAGCTCTTCCTCTGGAACTGGACCGAACTCCACCCGAGGACCTGAAATTACAGGAGTGAGTAAGGGATCATCTTCATTTGCTCGAGATGTAACAGACTCATGCAATGGAAATGTTTCAACTTGCTGACAGAATTACACGGAAGCTTTTTGTTTTGAGTTTTGTGTTGATGCAGCTCATCTTAATCTTAACATCTTCTGTTTTTTTATATTTCAGATCTATGTATATGTATATATGTACATGTATATATGTATGTATGTCAGCAAATATAAAAAGGGGGTCACTGTCTCAGAGCTCAAGGTCTCATTGTAGAAACTGTAACAGAAAGTTTACATAAACATCCATTTTGAAATGATACATTTTCCTAAAGTTAACAATGCAAGGATAGACTGAGCTCATAAATAGAACAAAATATCAAAACTAAAAATAATTGCACCTGCAACATCCACGTTGAATTTGATGGCATCCCCTGATGTTTCACACGTATAAACTCCGGAATGAGAGGCATCCGCCGAATGGATGACAATCCTCCTCATATTTCCATCGGACTGGATGTTGAGGCCATCGGTCACCTGGAGTTCCTCACCATCTTTGAACCACGACACTTTGGCTAAGGGGTGGGACACTTCACAGTACAGCACGATGGCGTCACCTGGGTCTACTCTCTTGTTGCTCTCCGACTCCGACAGTGGAGTGAATTTTATCACGGCAGCTGTAAAAAAGACGACGTCAAACGAGGCAATCTCCAAAGAAACCAATGAAAAAAGCTCGACTCAAGTTGCAGGTTTTGGTACGTACGTTTAACCTTGAGCACGGCCGAGTCTCGCACTCCGTTGGCTATGAACGTGATCTCCGCCGTGTCCTCGGATGTTTGGGTTTCTCGGATCACCAGGGAGTGCCTTGTTTGAGTTTGCTTTACTGAATAGCGTCCACTGTCCCGCAGTTGAGTGCTATTGAAAAACCAGGTTCCAACCATGGGGGCCGACAGCTCAATGGAGAAGTGAGCATCGTCTCCTTCCACCACTTCGCAGCCCTGGAGAGGGCTGTGAATCTTGGGACCTGGAACTGAATAACAGAGAAAAAGGATTAAGAAAAAAGGTGAAATTGGCCGCAAGACAAACCATGTGTAATGGTACTTTCCAGCAGGTCAGCTCACCAAGATGGACGGCTTTGGGAAACTCCACGTGGCCGCTTCTTCCATACTTGTTCATGCAGCAGACGCGGAAGCGATAGGTGCCCTCGCACGGCACGTTGTCGCCGCTGACCTCGGCGGAGGTGGCCGTCTCGGAGGTGAAACACTTCTGCCACTCCTGGGAACCCACCTCTTGCGTCTCCAGCACGAAGATGGAGCGCGTGGCGGCCTGGCTGCTGGGGGCGGGCACCCAGGTCAGCAGGGCGCTGTTGGGTCTGTCTACGTCCATTTGGACTTCCACGGGACAGACCGGGGGGCTGTGTCTGGTGGCTTTAAGAAGGAGAAACGATCAACCTGACACTGACCTCTTTGACTCAAATTTCAGAAAACACTCGACATGACCATTGTGGAATGGTCATAAATGGTCATAAACACTGAAGTCGTCAGAGGATAGACGGTCAAGATGCTACCCTACCTAGGATTGAATCAACTTGAATTGGTTGATGTACCAAAAAGAAAATCAGAACAGGTGCAAATCTTCAGGGCATGGTAAGTTTTTCTTAATTTCACCAATTAATATAATCAACGCACTCAACCGTTGCTGATTGTCCTGAACGTACCCTTGACCTTAAGGCGCGCAGAAGTCTTGGATCTCCCCGCGACGAATGTAACGACACCCGAGTCGTGATAGGCCACGTTGACAAAGACCAGAATGTGAGTCTTGCCGAAAGACTTGAGAATGGTCTGGTGTGTCTCGAGCAGCTTCAGTCCGTCTTTGAACCAGTGGACCTCCATCTCATCGCTCTCCACCTCGACACAGAACGCTGCGTTCTCACCCTCCAGGACCTCCAATTTCCGGGGAAGTTTACGAACAATAGTACCTGTAAGAAAAAAAAGGAAACACTTAAATTCCTATGCAAAGCTTTTTTTAAAAAGTTGTTTTCAAAGTATCACAACTCGGTAATCTGCACACGTTAAAAGAAAATAAAAATCCTCTCGTTTTGCAGATTTTGATGCAGTATTACTGACCTTTAACCGACAGCTCAGCAATGCTCTTCCCTCCATCAGGCATCTCACACAGGTAGACTCCGTCATCGTCCGTCCCGATGTCATGGATGGTGAGTCTTCGTTTGGTTCCTTTTTGTTCCATACCATATTTACTGCTGGGCATCAGCCTCTGGTCCTCCAGGTACCAGGCAGCTGGGATAGTCTCATCTGGTACCTCACATTCCAGCACGGCCACATCGCCCTCCTTAACCTCCACATCTTTGAGCTGGCGCCTGAACCGCACAGCTGGGCCTGGAAAGCAAGAAAAATGTGTGTTTTGCATGTGTTAGACTTAGAATAGCGACTAAGTGATGAGTGCACAAAACAAATTGCTTGTCTTTTTCAGTATGGATAACCTTGTAACTCCATCAGAATCTAACCCAAATGGTAATGTTTGACTGTAAAAATGGCCTGACTGACAGAGGAAGTCTTCTACAATTGAAGTCCATTAGGAGATAACTACCAGCCTGAGATGTCTGATAGAAATTATGTCCTGAACAAGTGTTGCTTTTATGTCTTATTTGTTCGAAAATTGGCTGCATTTCTACAGAAGTGACATTGCATTTGAATTCTTCACCTTTTCTTATAGCTCTTTTTTGTTTTTCTCCTTTACTGTTTGTGTCCAACCTACCACTGAGATTAATTTGGCTATAAAGAAATGATGATCATTTGTCACTTTAAAGGAGATGCTTCTTTTATGCTACATATAAACAAATGCCATATCCAGTGTACAATTTAGTGTACCACAGACTCTTGCTGGTTATTCTGATAAAAGTAACAAAAACCGACCGCATCTATTTGCCTCGACTTAACTATCTTAGCTTTCAAAGGGGAGCGGCCTGAAGACTTGGTACAAGGCTCTGATGGAGGAATTATGACTTTTCTTTTGATCTTGTTGAATCATAGCATCTTATTAAAGAAAGTTGAACATGCTATTGGAATTAAAAGAACTGCATTAGGATGGTTTAAGTCATATTTGATTCCAGTTTATCGAAACATAGTGTTCTCTGCACACACCAGTCTCAATCATATTTCTTTTCCCTAGTAATATCCATTGCTGTGCTCATGATCATCTCACGAAACCCTAAATTTTGTGATGCTAAGTTTAAAAAGCGTTCTTTCCGGCCTGCGGAGAGTTATTATTAGAGTTACTCTAAGTGACATCTCCTGGCATCTAACACTACAGTGACAAACCTTGCAGATGCGTTTGGCTGATCTCCGTCCTTTGGCATGAATGCAAATTCCATTTGAGACCAAAAGCAGCCACGAAAAGTAGCAGTTTCTGCTACTTTTTTCTGGATTTTAAGAGGTCCTTTCATCATGTTGGACTTACAGGGTTTATAAAACTTCAGCACTGAAAAGTAAGTACTACAATAAATAGATAATGTTTCATTATGGGATCATTTAAATCAAAGCCATGAAAAGAGTTTCATGGCTGATTCCGGTTGTAGGTATTCCTAGTAGGATTTACCCTTGAAAGACCGATTGACAGAATTGACCACATATCTGCCCCCATTTTTTTCCGTTATTCATTAAGATAGCAGTGTAAAAGCTGATCTAAAAAAAGCTGTGGCTTACTTTTTACAGACAGGTGGACGGCGCTCAGGGTGTTTCCAAGAGCGTTGGAGGCGGCGCACACATACAGCCCTGTATCCTGGACTTTACAGTACAGGACCTTCAACGTGTAGTAGCCCTCTCTGTCCTCAAATATCAGGTGACGTCTGTCGGGCTCGAGGGGAACCCCGTCTTTCTTCCAGATGATCTCGGGCTTCGGTTTCCCCGTCACGTAGCAGCGGAACTTGGCGTGCTTCCCTTCCGTCACGGCGAACTTCTTGGCCTTGGACGCGTTGACGGGCGGCTCCTCCATCATCTTGGATAAGCTGAGGCGTCCGCCTCGGTGCTTCGGTGACCATTGGCTACCGGTGTGGCCGCCGGACGACCTCCTGCTCTCCTCTCGCTCTGGCACTGGCTCGACAAGGAGGACGGCTCCGGCCAGGGCCTCTCCGTGGCCGTTGACGGCTTTGCAGGTGTACACGCCTTTGTCCGGCATGCGGGTCCCGTAGATCTTGAGCTGGAACCACCCCCCGTCTTGATTGCTGACGCTGAAGTGGGAGTTCTCGAAGATGTCGCTCAGCTTTTTCCCGTCTTTCTCCCACTTCACTTCGGGCAGAGGTGTCCCCCAGATTTTGCAGGAGAAGGCAGCGTCCTCTCCCCGATCCACGCGCAAAGACAGGGGCTTGATGAGGAACCGGGGTCTTTCGTTTGACGTCAGATCAATGGCATCGTGCTTCTCTCCCAGCCCTTTGTTCCACTCGTATTGACCGTTCACTTCCTCCAAATTGACGCCATTTTCCACAGAGCTATAGCCATTATGGTATCCTCTAACTTCTACACTATCTTGTTTCGACTCCTTCACACCATTAACTTTCAACTCCATCAACTGGCCATCCTGTGCGTGGGCCTCTCCGTCCACTTTGAGGGACGCCGCCGCGTAGGTTTCACCGACGCTATTTCTGGCCTTGCAGATGTACTGGCCAGCATCTTGTAGGGTGACGCCAGCGATGGTCAGCAGGTACACCTTCCCTTCCTCCGAGAGCCTGTACCGTCCCTCGGTCGGGATTTGAACATTTTTACGTTCCCAGATGACGTCCGGACGAGGGTCTCCGTCGATCTGGCACCTGAGCGTCGCCTCCGCTCCCCACCGCGCCACCACGGGCCGCGGGTTGCCCAAAACCCGAGGAGCCCCGCCGAAAATATCCATGCCGCCGCTCGTCCCGCGTGTGAGCTTTTGCTTTTGCTGGCCTCAGTCTTGTCCCAAAGTTATATCAAGAAACTAAAAGGTAAAGAGCATGAACTATTTAAAACTTTGGCATTGACTGAGATACGACTATTTGTAGGAGCACTGTTAACATAATCACTAAGTCAAGTCACTTTCAGCGTACAACACTCATGTAGTCTTACAGCTGGTGCTGTAACTCATTGAAGAGTGTATTTATAAAGTAGTATTTCCAAACTAAGAAGCTGCAGAGCATGTGTCACATGGCAGACAAAAAGCTTTGCAGAAACACAGCTGTAGTCTCCAATTTGAAAGAAAGAAAAAAAAGCCATATTATGTATCATGTTTTTCCAACATTTTTTTAATCTTTTGGGCTACCTCAAGCTTTGGCTTTAAAACGAAGCCTCATTGAGGACATTTTGCCATGTAAAGATTTTCTTATTTGATCATTTGCAGCTTTAAAGAGGTAGGTTGCTCACCTTGGTGCCGCATTGACTGAAACGATACTTAAACAAAGGAAAACTACAATGAGGGAACTACCTCAGAAATTGACCAGAAAACTTACCGCTCTCTTTTAAAAGTTGCTCTCTCCACAGAGTTCCGTCGCTAATGTGATGTGATGTGATTCGAACATCCGAATGGAAATGTTAGTGTTCCTCTTTCTGTTTTAAACAGTCACAGAGCTCTCTCAAACCCTTCGGTTTTCCGTCTTCTCGTCCTACTTCCCAGTTCTTGTTACTTTTCTGCACATCCTCTGACCACTGGGCTCCTTGGCAAAAAAGGAGAAATGAAATCTTCCGCTCACAACTGGTCGGCAACAGTCCTAGGTGACATTTTGGGATTGGTTTGTGTCGGGTTGCAGGTGGCCAAAAGCAAAACGCCGTATTTTCTGTTGACCGCCGGTGGATGAATGCATCCGCTCCTGATCCCTCATTGACCGAGAGCTGAAGACTGAGGGAGGGAGGGAGGGTTTGGATCGGAGTGGGGTTGGAGGGTATATGAGAGTGAGTCTGAGTGGGTAAATGCTTTCACAGCTGCTGCCACTGCAAGCCACCACCACCACCCCCCCGCCCCTAAAAATACCAGAAGCACCGATGACGCGGGTCCAGATAAAGTTAGGCTCTCCATTCAGAGAGCGTGGCCCCTCTAAAGATAGAGAGGCAAAGGTCTGCATTGGATCACTCGGCTCAACAGTTATCCTGATTAAACCTCGGAGGAGAAAGGACGCCTGGAATGCCGGAGCGTCGGGGGATGAATCACATCGTTGTGTCACCAGTATTAGGACATGATTTATATCGAGCTGTGGTTGAATGAATTCAAGGGCAACATAACATGCACAATGCTTTGTTGTAAGTGCATTTTTTAGACCTTTTCTGTATTTCACTATTTCATGGACTGAAAAGCAGATCATTGGGGTTAACATTTAATCACCCCAACAGATGATTTGAAGCATTTTTTTATTTCAAAATTGAAGTTATATGTTTTCAAACGTTGTATAAATATGGATATTCGAATGGTAGAATTAAAATGAAAATATGAAAATATAAGTCACAAGTCAATGAAAGACTGTTTGAGCCTCCAGTTAGCTTGATTACCATTTGTATAAATGATTCAACCTATGATTCTTATGGCTTTTGACCGGGAAAATATTATTTAAGGGTCTTTATGTGTGTGTTAATTCTTCAGAAACACTATTTTGAATTATTTTGTCTGTCTTTGAATCCACATTTTTTCAGGCTTCCTTTTATTATAATGATATCCTACCCAGAGGTTTCAGCTCACGCTCAGCTGGTACATCTCTGGTAAAGCTTGAAACCATTCTTTCCATTTCGAATTGTTTGATACTGTTGGGCAAGTTGCTGATTATAGAGTTGTTGTTTTTTTCAATTTTATTTAATTAGAAAAAATAAGAACTTGCCGGGGATTTTGTCCGCCATTGACAGGATACCACAGTTCCTAAATCTGACCAAACTTTTACTCAATCCCTTTATATCCCTTAAAAGTGGATTTTTACCATGCATCATATGTCCAACAAGCATGTGGATGCCAATCCAAAATCGTTTCCTTCTACAGTTGTGCCAAATCCGATGTGGAAAGTTAAGCGTCAGATGGGAAGTTGCGGCTCCAGGTATCAGTGTTTTAGCAGTTAACGGCCGTCCAGCCACGTGACGCATCCGAATCCGTCGTTAGCACTTATTGCCTCCATTCCTCGGACAATGGCTCCTCGAGCTATCGCTCAGAGTGTCGCAGATAGAGGAAGCAGACAGGCGCATTCGACCTTCAGCTTCACATCCTTTATCTCTTTCGGTGACTAAAAAAAAACTAAACAAATTGGAATGCGTTATCTCAGAAATGCTTCGGCGACCGCTCATCTCAGAAAACAATATTTCCGAGGCCCTCGAGTCATCGGGGTCATTCGGAGGACTCGGGTCTCGGCTTACAGGCCCCCTCGGACATTCTCCTCCATTCGGTCATCCCTAGCAGCTGCTAGGTGGGATGACTGCACCAGGACTCCAACGAAAGCGCAGCGATGCTCTTTGTCCTGGGATTGGATTTCAATTGATAAGCTGAAGAGGATTGACGGAGGCCGTGGCGTTCGAAAAAGGCTGTCAGTCAACCTGGTTCAAATCGAGGAGACTTTCAGTTCAATTTTATTTATATAGCGCCACATAACAACAGTTGTCTCACAGCGATTTCCAAACAGAGCAGGTCAGACCCTACTCTGAAGTTAATTACAGAAACCCAACAATTCCCACCATGAGCAAGCACTAGGCGACACAGGCAAGGAAAAACGTCCTTTTAACAGGCAGAAACCTCGAGCAAGAACCATGGCTCAGGGTGGGTGGCCATCTGCCTCGGCCGGTTGGGGGTGACGGGACTTCATATCTGTTCTGTCTTTTGTCAGTGTAAACTGCTTAGAAGGGCTCCGACAAAACACTTTTTTTTAAGAAACCAATTTACTTTAGCAGTGTTAGCTGTTTGAAGAGGGCATCTTAATCTCTGCCTTCCTTATTTTTTCACTTAAAAGTCAAAGGACGGCCCATATCTCACAGTTCTCACTTTGATTACCGGAATCATTGAGGATGTTTAAAAATTGAGTCTAAGTGAGTTAAAAAGTAAGTCTAAGATTCAATATTGACAATCAGAGGGACTTTTTACTGTAAATTTGAAGTTTGGTAGAGTTTTGGACTACCAGAGAGCTCAGAGGATGACAGCCTGAAACATTATAAAAACGTTGTTGTGGATGTATTCTGGATTTGCTGTATATGTTAAATCATTTGTACATGCATATGCATGTTATATGTTTGATTATGGTCAATAAACAGAACGTGTTCACATACGAAGCGGCATCACATTCATGAACAGCCAGAACTGTTTGTTTCTAAACCTTTGCGTTTGTATTTAAGTGTGTGACTTATTAGGAATTCTTCAAAAGCCTCAAACGGTGGAGGTCTGGTGCCACCGGACACATGTCATTCTGCCGGACGTTTGCCAAGAGGTACCGGAACGACTCCAAACCCATAAGTAAATCCTCTGATATCAACAGACCAGTGCTAAAAATATCCGGGCCAAGTCTTTCCCCTCAAGCAGCAAGCGGATCATCGGAGGGAGACGGCCTCAAAGTATCATCTTATTAGCATTATCGACACATGTAAGTTTAGTAACAAAATGAACAAATAAAGCAGTTTTGGGTCATCAAGGGGGGTTTCTCACCAACAAAGCCTCCCTTGGGAAAGCAATTTTGTTTAGCATAGAACGGTACTCAGATTTCAGTTCTGCTGCCACAATGAACAGGACAAGATAAAAATAAAAAATGTGATACAATTAAAAAAGAAAAAGTATTATCCTATCCCAACCATTTAGAAAGACGGACATGGAAAGAATGAAAGAATACTTGAGTACATCAGTGACAGCTGTTTTCTTTTTTCAATGAATCTCCACAAAAAATAAAGAAAAAGGGGGTGGGGGGGATCATTTTCATATCGGAATGAAAAGGTCATTTGTACATTCACATGGACATCAAAGTGAAGCAAATATACTTATAATTAGTGTCATCTTTATGTGGTGTCATGTAGTTTTTTTCCCCCACACTATCCAGTAGGTGGGGCTAAAGACTTATTCTCTGTCAATTGTGAGCCTCGGATAAATGAACTGTCCAGATCCACAGAATGATGAGATGTTTACTCTTTAAGCTAAATGACTCTGACCTTTGAACTCCCAGAGGAGAAGGAGTACAAGGAGGAGGCGGAGGGCAGGGGATTTGCATTGCTCCTCATAAAACATCGTTGTACGCGCTTAGATACTGTAGAAACTCGTTCACAAAATCCCAAAACCACCCTTAAACTCAGCAAAACCTGTACGGTAAAAGCCGTTTTCTCTTTTAATTTGAACTTAAAGATCGTACGATACTTGTGGAGCTGATATCTACTGCGTGTTAGAAAGAGATCTTACTGGAAAGACATGAAGGCCCCTTGGTCCTGGGATAAAGCCCCAGAGATTTAAAGAAACGTGCTAAGATGCACGTACACATTTTTTGTTCGTAGTGAAAGAGAAGAGAGACTGTACTCTGAGAATAAAAGTTGGGGGGTTGATTAAATGGTAGATCATATAGAGCTACGGAGGGGGGAAAACAAAGATCAAACGCTGTTTTTTGGGGGGTCCGATGACCTCTGACACCTTGGCCCCTCCCCTTTCTCCATGCGACCCGGCAAGCGTGCTGCGAGAAACAACAAGGGATTCTGGGAAAGACGGGAGGAGGGCTTTTTTTTTGTTCTCTGTATAACATCTGTGTGAATGTGTGTGAGGCCGAGAGAGGATTGCATCTGTGCACGTGCTAGGTTTTGGCGATTGTTATTTTCACTCATCGGTATCTTTTCTAAATTGGTTTTCAATGTTTCAAAGCAGGAAAATCTGGGAAAAATGCCAATTTTGGCGTATGCTGGACAGTCCAGTGTCATCACAGTTCGGTGGAATAAAGCGGTGAAGAATAATGCTCGGAAATATGCACACAAAATGTGTTTTTTCCCCCACATTTATTCAATCAGATCATTGGATCTACTACTTAGTGATTAACTATGTAATAAGGCAGTGATCAGCAACTCTGGCAGGATGCACGTAGCCACTGACCCTGCGAATGACGTCCGGTTTTTAAATTTGTTCTGGTATGGATATGGCTCGCTCAGGACAAGCTTTGGATTCGGTTCTCACGGATCTTTTATTCCTTTAACCATCAAGACAAGGGTCTGAAACTAAATGAAACCTACCTGCCCGGTCTTTTCTAATATAGCCCCAAAGCAGCTTTGATACCCTGAGACGCAGACCATACCATACCTTCTGGAGAATTCCTCCGGTATTAAGCATTAGAGATCCCAGCAGAAGATCCCGCAAAGTCTTGCGAGTTGGATTTGATTTGCTTTTCCCAGCACGCCCAGCTAAACTGAGATTTGAAGGGAGTTTTGGAAGCCGTACCAATAACGCAAACTCATCATTATCTGGTTCGGATACCTCCTTGTGTTGCCTCCCTTTGTAGGGTTTCTAGGCAAGTCCAGTCGGGGGGTGAGGAACCTGGAGGGGTTGTATATCCCCTAAGGCCCAGTTGACATCTTGGGATCCCTCGGGATGAAGCGCCGGGTCTTGATTGGCTTCTCTCTGCCTCTTTCTCTGCTTTTTCTGCTCGGATAGAGGGAATAAAATGAACGGATACCCTGACGATACTGCTACGAAAACCTTGCCGATAAAGCCCGCGAAATTGGGAAGGCCTCCAAGGGCTGCTCAAGAAATGAGTTCTCCATCTACAAACATATTTTGCCTCCCTGTGAATTATCTCCACACGATGGATATAATAATGGTCTTTAATCTGTTCATGGGAAATCCAATGCTGATCCTATGTCATTCCACAGCCTAATGCGATTTTGTTTTGGTTGCTTCTCTGACATAATACAACCATTTCAATAAATTCTCCTTTATTTTGCTCGATTTTGGGGGGATGTTCCAGGGACCCCTCAGTGAAACAGCTTTAATTTTTTTCTCTTCTTT